GAAGGATAAAAGAATTATAGCCAACCAACCGCATGAAGGTGTGAAAGATAAACTACATGTCACAACATGTTCACAACATGGTTAATTATTATTAATAGTTTAGAACAGATATTCTTTGAGCCTGGTGGTCCTTACGCTGACCTATATTGTTTTGTTTAGAAAATAATGCCTAGTGAAACACAGCAGCAGCTGAGTGGATTGATAAAAAAATTGATGATACTGTAATAAAAAATCATTTCAAACTGAATTATTGGATTTTGCAAAGAAATGGAAACATTTTCAAACAAGTCTTGAAGATAGATATAATTTGATCTCTGCCTTGGACGAAATTTAACAGTAGAATAACTTAAAAATTTGTACCGTATCCTATCAGTTGAAAACAGCAACAAACATATATAAATGCAAATCTTTTAAAAAATATATTGTTTCTTATTTTGTTGTCCAAATGTTTTATTTGCATAGTTTTGCTTATCCAAATTTATATCTGGCTTACAAACTTATCTAAAAATTATCCTTCAAAAGTTGCTTGTGAGAGGTCGTTTTCAAAATTGAAAAACATTTTCAACAAATTAAGGAATTAATCGTCAATCAATAACAACAACGATAAACTTTTAAAAATCGACTAGTAGATTAGGTGTGTCGCAAATGATCAAATTATTACCAACACCTGGTTTGACAATCACCCAAGACGAAAATATACTTAGAAGAGTCTAGGAGACAAGGTAAGAAATATGATTGATTATATCACTATAAATAGACAATTTCAAAATGTTGTTTTGAAAAATGTTGTTTTCAAATTGTTTTGAAAAATGTTGATTCGAAAAAAGTTACCATGGGGCTGGTTGTGGCAATGACCATAACCCAGTTGTTTGTAAAATCAGGATAAATTTTAAAAAAAATCAAAACGTTTGAATTTTGTCAGTCTGTCTAAAAATGATGAAATCAATGTCAAGTTGAAGTACGGAATCGTTTTCAGTTATTGACGGAAGACGTAAATAAATCTAAATATGAAATATTTAGAGATGCTCTCACAGAATCAGCCAGTGAAGTTATACAAGTAAAGGAGCAAAAAAAGAGGTAAAAAATGGATAACGTAAGACACCGTATCTCGGATGAATGAGCGCGTGGCTATCAATAAAAGCAAAACCGCCTCGATCTCCTCCATAATTATTAATGGAAAACAGGGGAATTAAGTCATCATTTCAATTATCTCGGATGTCTAATTACCTCAGGTTGTAAATGTGATGCGGATATCAAATATAGCTATGGCGAAAGATGCATATTTTAAAATGTAAACCATCACCAACAGTAAAATCAGAATATCACCAAAATTAAAACTGTTAGAGTGTTACAAATTTTCTGTTTTCACTTACGGTTCTAATTCTTAGAGGATTTTGAAAGAGGTGGAAAAAAGGACTAATGCTGAAATGTGATATTTGAAAAGAATTATGAAAATTAGTTGAACCTCTCATACCTCCAATGAAAATGTATTAAAACAGCCCGGTTATGAAAATAGGAAATTACTACAAATAATCCGACGTGAGCAGTTAAAGTTTTTCGGTCACATCTAACACTTGCTAGAAAGATTGCAGTGAGAAGAGATCGAGTTCAACAACGAATTTCATTTGTGAAGTCCTTGTGTCACTTGTTGAATATCGCCACATTTCAATTACTACAAAGTGTTAAAGATCGGGCTTTGTGGAGGTCGAGAGTCGCCAAAGTCCTGAAAGATAAGAAACGAAAAAGAAAAAAGTGGTAAACCACGAAAAAGCTGTTGCACTAGTTAATATAAATTTTAAACTCTGGTAGTGCTTCTTATGTTTAAGTTGTTAAAACAGAACTAGGAGGTATTTAACTGTTTTTAACAAAGCAGTTTAACAAATATCTCAACAAGCAAAAATGTCTTCTTTGCGACGACCATGCAGCCCTCAAGAGGTTATTTTATTTTGTTTATTTATTTATTGACAAACTAACCAAAGGTCTATAAGTGACCATTTATCTAGTCAGGAAAAAGAAAAAACAACTTGCAAAAGAATAAACGCACGTCAAGATATTAACAAACAGAAATCAATCAATCTTCGTTTAGCGTCCAGAGACCCAGTTCCCCAAGGCCGGACGTTGTTTTCTTAGCCATCAATTTTTTGCGCCAAATTAGACGATCAGTTGTATCCATTTCATTTAAATTTAGATCTTTTATGTCTTGCTCGATTGTTTGCGACCAGGACTTCTTTGGACGGCCTTTGGGACGTGTGCCAGGTACTTCAACATCTGCAAGAGAAGTTATGGCACTGTTTCAACTTCGCTTGATATGACTAAACCAACGCAGGCGGTATTGCCGGCATTCGTCATTTATATAATCTAAACCAGCAAAACGCAGGATTTTGGTAGATTTGATGTGGTCAAACAAACAAACAGAATTAACAAACAGATATCATCGCATAATAATACAAATAATGAATGAGGCAACATAACATCCATATACACATAATAACCGTGAGATTACAATAGAATTTGTTTGATATGTGTATTTATGTACAAGGGTAAATTTTAAACGTGTAACAAATAACATTGTGGGTGTAATAAAAAAGATAGTTTGATGGTTATAATTAATGGGACAAGGTGGCTCGGTGAAAATGATAATCGACAAAATTGGATAAGCACATAATACTGAAAGATGAGACGCAATGATTTGCAATGAGACAATATCTACATTAATAGTTGGATTACAATCAAAAATTTATTTTAGTCAATAGATAGAGGATGATTTCTGAAAATTACAAGTGAATTGAGAAAACCACTTCTGCCGACAAAGCGTTCCATACACGAATAATCATTGAAAATATTTCTACTGTTACAGTAGAAATATTTTTTTGCATTGTCGCTAGCATTGAAATCCTGCAATCGGCTTTGATGACCACGAGTTGACAAATAACGTGAAGGCATGAAATAACTGCGTAGGTTCGTTTCTAATAATTAAGCGTGCACGAGAAGAAGCCCTGTAAGTGATGTCGCTGATATGAAAATTAAGTTGAATTTGTTGTCAACTATCACTCCTAGACCTTTGAATTCGTTTATACAAGTTAGAAGTTGTTGGTCAATTGAATATTGGTGCTGAATTAAGATAGATCTCGATGATGAAAGAAACGAGCAATGAGAACATTTGTTTTGAGAAAGTGTTAATTGCCATTAGATACTCCAAGCACCTATGTCGTTAATGATCTGTTGAAGTTGAGCTGAATTGGAAAAACGGCAATAAAATTTGATATCATCAGCGAAAAGCAAAATTGAAACCGTTTTTGAAGAGATGCACTCAACAATGTCGTTTATGAAAATCAAAAATAAGGTGTGGAACACAACTAATGACAGATACAGAACCTGATAGCTTATTCTGAAACTGGACTTGTTGAGAACGTTGAAATATGAAGTCTGTCAAACAGAAAAGCAAATTTCTAGATATTCCGTAAGATTTTAATTTTCCAACTAGCTTTGAGTGCGAAACAAAGTAGAAAGCCTTTTGGAAATCCAGGTAGATAGCGTCGCAGCTTTCCTTGTTTTGACGAATTGTAGTAAGTTGAAGCAGGTGGATCTGGCAGGTAAAAAACCACGTTGAGAACTAGTGATCAATTTGTTCTCTAAAAGAAAAGATAGCACTTTAACTTTATTAGTTTTTTCGATTACTCTACAACTTGAACTGGTGAGAAAAATTGGTCCGTAATTACTGGGGTTGTTGATAGGCTACAAAACTTTAAAGACTCAGAAAGACAAGTGGCTCAATGAATAGAACGACTCAAAATGTACAATTTTGAAATAACGCATCGCAAGGGAACAATTCATAATTTAAACTCTTTAGTAAATCTAAACATTTTTTAACAAACAAAAAATTGTAAATAAACAACGTTGAGTTGATTATTCTCATCCTTTAGCAAAGCATTCTCTTCAACAAAATCTTCAGTTTCTTTTTCATACAAATTAATCTATCGAAAAAAATGAATGTAAACAAATTTAAAAAGGTTATCTTATAAACATAATCATTGTTAAGAGGTCTCTAGTAAGTGACATTTTCTTCAAGCTTACTTTCCAACTTGTTTGCCTTCGCAAATCACTTCGCAACATAAATTTTTAAGCCATTCCTGGCCTACTCAATTATTCTTTTCCTTCATTTTTAATGTGGCAATCATTTTATCTCATTGTTTTTTGTTTTATATTATAAAAGTCTAAATATTAGTCTTTTAGTCTTATCAACCTTGCAATCATCATTTTACTCAACAATCTCATGCAGTTCTCAGTTGCTAGATCTTGAATCTCGTTTTTATGAAGTCAATAGTCCTATATTACCTATTTTAATTTCATTCATTTATTTTTATTATTATTATAGAAAATTCACTTTTCAGCAGTTCTTAGGCGATTACAGCTCCCAAAAAACATTATCAACAATAAATTATCAGCAATCTGAACAAGTAGTCAATCAAAAAAATAAATAAATACATAATGAAGAAATAATACAATATTATAATGATAATGATAGAAATAGACAGTTAAAAATAAATAAAAATTAATATGCACAAAAAATGTTTATATATATAATAAAGATTAAAATAGAAATATTGACATTATATCATTATATTGACAAAACACATGATAAAAATTCAAGACAGCTAAGTGTCAATCAAACAAACTCTTGAGAACATAAACAGGGTTAGGCCTAGGCATGACATAAAACTGCATCCACGCTGCTTTGCGCGCTTTTGAGCAAAAGGCTAGGCCCACCGCTTAGAAATGGTGGTTGTCGTCAGGATGGGTGTCCGGATGTAAAAACTTTCCCCAAATTATTCTATGCCATTATAAACAAAAACGACGGCCCCTAGTCCCCAGCAGGCAGGAAAAATCAGAATGGCCCCTCTGTGATACATAGACTTGGAACGCTCAATGTTGGATCACTGACTGGCCGCAGCATGGAAATCGCAGAAATGCTCGAGAGTAGAAAGATTGACATCTGCTGACTTCAGAAGACCCGATGGAAATCGAATGGTGTCTGTCATATCAACTCAGAAAATGAAAAATATAAACTATTCTGGAATGGTCAAAAGACGGCCAAAAATGGTGTTGGAATTTTTGTCAAAGAACCCCTAGACCAAGAAGTACTGGATATTAAAAGAATTAACTCACGTCTCATTTGGATCAAGCTTCGCCTAGAAAAGCAAACAATGACTATTTTGTCTACATACGCATCACAGACAGGCGAATCGGAAGTGATGAAAAATGACTTCTGGGCTGCGTTCTCAGATACCATCTCAACAATACCAAAATCTGAAACAATCCTGATCGGAGGCGATCTCAATGGCCTCGTTGGAGAGAAAACAGATGGTTTTGACAACCTACATGGCGGTTTTGGCTATGGAGAATAGAATAAAGATGGCAAACGCATCCTTGAGTTTGCTGAATGTTCCGGGTTTTGTTTACTAAGCACATATTTTAGAAAGAAGTTGGAACATCTCATAACATACAGAAGTGGACCATCAGCCACGCAAATTGATTTCTTCACTGTCAAGCAACAACACCGAGCAATTCAAAAATGTCAAAGTTATACCTGGCGAATCATGTATCGCCTAACCTAGACTCCTTGTGGCAGACCTGGTTGTCAAACTGTCCCAACATGTCTAAACAAATGCCCCGGAAAATCAAAACGTGGAAGCTGAAAAGCAATATTCATCGAGAAAAATTTCAACAGATTGTCGCTACACAGTTAGACCACCAATTGCAAGCCAGTACAGATTGGAGTGAAGAAGAAAGTGAAATAACGAGGGAAGAAATTACAAGAGCAATGAATAAAATGAAGAATAACAAAAGTAAAAGATGGTATTCCGATAGAACTGATAAGAGCAGAAGGACAAGTCGTGTGTAAAATAATTCACATAATCTGTCAAGAAATTTGGGAAAGTGGAATGTGACCAGAAGAATGGTGCAAGTCAGTTCTGGTTATGCTGCCAAAAAAAGATGACCAAAAAGATTGTAATAATTACAAATCCATTGCACTAATTCCGCACATATGCAAGATCATGCTGACCATCATAAAAAAACGACTGGAAAAGGTCATAGAGCAACATCCGCAAAAAGAACAAGCAGGCTTTAGAAAGGACAGAAGCACAGTTCAACAAATTCTGATGTTGAGACTGCCGATGGAGGATGCAAAAAGTAGCGATCAGACAATTTACCATTGCTTTGTTGATTTTAAGAAAGCGTTTGATTCTGTCTGGCATGAAGGTTTGTGGGCAACATTAGAAAGTATGGGGACATCAGAAAAGCTGGTCAAAATACTGAAAGGACTTTATGAAGAATCAAAAATGTCATAATAATAGGTACAGAACTTGGGGATTGAATAAAGGCAGACATTGGAAGCAGACAGGGCGATCCAATATCACCAATACTATTCATAGCATTGCTAAAAAGAGCAATAGAAAAAATGAAAAATTCAAAATTGGGTGAAATTGACATAGGAAGGAAAACTGTAAAATATCTCAGGTTTGCAGACGATATAGACCTTCTAGCTTCTAGCGAAGAAGGTTTACAGAAACTAATTGAACTAACACATGTTGGAGGAAAATATCACGGGTTGCATATCAACAAAGACAAAACGAAGGTGACGATTACGGAAAAAGACAGAAACAATGCGGAATTTCAAATAGAATCAGAAAAACTCGAACAAGTAGACCGGTTTGTGTATCTTGGCAGACTTATAACCTGTGACAACAACTGTACCAAAGAAATTGACAGAAGGATAGCAATAGCCCATGGAATGTTCGCATCATTGAAAGAAATATGGAAAAGTGGAAATATATCTAAAAAAACAAAGTTGAGAATGATAGAATCATGCGTTTTTCCAAGCTTGCTCTATGCATGTGAGACATGGACAATAAAGAAAAGAGACAAAAACAGATTGGAAGCATTTGAGATGTAGTGTTACCGAAATTTGTTGGGAATCAGTTGGAGGCAGAAAGTAAAGAACGAAACCATCAGAAATCAACTTGGAAGACAGAAAAGTGTATATGACAAAATCAGAAAAAGAAAATTGGGATTTTTTGGACACATTTGTTGAATGAGAAAAGACAGATTAATTAAGATGGTGCTAATGCTTTAATAATGTCATTTGTGAGTACGGAGGGCCCTGCTGCCTTTCTATCTTTCATAGCTTTCAGAGCTTCTGTAAGCTCCTCTTCTCTATAGTGTTGTCTTGAATCGGACTTTCGATGGGTTTCAAAGCATCAAAGTTGACATTGATGGGATTTGTTTCATTTAACAGACGGTTGAAGTATTCTCTCCACTGCACTCTAATCAATCAATCAATCTTCGTTTTGCGTCCAGAAACCCGGTTTCCCGAGGCCGGACGTTGTTTTCTTAGCCATCAACTTTTTGCGCCAAATTAGACGATCAGTTGTATCCATTTCATTTAAATTTAGAGCTTTCATGTCTCGCTCGATTGTTTGCGACCAGGACTTCTTTGGACGGCCTTTGGGACGTGTGCCAGGTACTTCAACATCTGCAAGAGAAGTTATGGCACTGTTTCCACATGACCAAACCACCGCAGACGGTGTTGCCGGCATTCGTCCTTTATATCATCTAAACCAGAACGACGCAAGACTTCGGTAGATTTGATGTGGTCCTTCAGACTAATTCGTTGCATCCATCGGAGCATTTATATGTCGATTCGTTGAAGTTGTTGTTCCAGTTTGGTTGTCATTGGCCATGTTTCTGCACCATATAGCATGATCTCATCTTGTTCAAGAACCATCTTATTTTTGCCAGTGCGACTTGACGTCTTGCATAGTTGTTCTTCTTACGGAAAATTTTATGGTCATCAATAGACTTTGATTTTTGCCATTGCTTGTATGCAGCTTTCTTTTCAGCTATTGCATTGTGTACACTGTCATTCCACCACCAAGTGCCCCGTTCATGCTGGCGTTTTGTACCAGTTTTCCCACAAACTGTAGTTGCAGCGTTTATCAAAACGGTTTTGTATGTACTACAATCTTTACTGGCTTGCGATTGGTGGTCTGTGTGGCGACAATCTGTTGAAATTTTTCTCGATGAATATTGCTTTTCAGCTTCCAAGTTTTTATTTTCCGAGGCATTTGTTTAGACTTATGTTGTGACAGTTCGACAACTAGGTCTGCCACCATGTGGGTTGTCAAAACCATCTGCTTTCTTTCCAACGTAGCCATTGAGATCGCCTCCAATCAGGATTGTTTAAGATTTTGGTATTGTTGAGATGGTGTCAAAGAACGCGACTTAGAAATCATTTTTCATCTCTTCTGATTCGCCCGACTAGGATGCGTATACAGAAAAAATAGTCACTGTTTGCTTTTCTAGGCGAAGCTTGATCTACATGAGACGTGAGTTAATCCTTTTAATATCCGGTACTTCTTGGGCTAGCGGTTCTTTGACAAAAATTCCAACACCATTTTTGGCCGTATTTTGACCATTCCAGAATAGTTTATATTTTAATTGTCTGAGTTAATATGACAGACACCATTCGATTTCTATCGAGTCTCCTGAAGTCACCAGATGTCAATCCTTCTACGCTCGAGCATTTTTGCGATTTTCATGCTACAGCCAGTCAGTGATCCAACATTGAGCGTTCCAAGTCCAAGTACAATAGAGGGGCCATTCTGAATTTTTCTGCAACATCCCTCCGCTATTGCATACTTTCCAGGGATTCATGGCAACCCTTGACCACTTAAGGCCTGCCTGCTGGGGACTAGAGGCCGTTGTTTTTGTTTATGATGGCATGGAATAATTTTGGGGAAAAATTTTTTACATCCGGACACCCTTCCTGGCGACAATCACCAGTTATAAGCGTTGGGCCAAGCCTTTTGCTCACGATCACGCAAAGCAGCGTGGATGCAGTTTTATGTCATGCCCAGGACAGTTTATATATATATATATAACTATATATATAATCAATCTTCGTTTTGCGTCCAGAGACCCGGTTTCCCGAGGTAGGACGTTGTTCTCTTCGCCATCAACTTTTTGCGCCAAATTAGACGATCAGTTGTATCCATTTCATTTAAATTTAGAGCTTTCATGTTTTGCCCGATTGTTTGCGACCAGGACTTCTTTGGACAGTTTTTGGGGCGTGTGCCAGGTACTTCAACATCTGCAAAAGAAGTTATTGCACTGTTTCCACTTCTTTTGACATGACCAAACCACCGCAGACGGTGTTGCCGACATTCGTCCTTTATATCATCTAAACCAGCACGACGCAGGATTTCGGTGGATTTGATCTGGTCCTTCAGACTAATTCGTTGCATCCATCGAAGCATTTTCATGTCGGTTCGTTGAAGTTGTTGTTCCAGTTTGGTTGTCATTGGCCATGTTTCTGCACCGTATAACAACACCGGACGTATCACATTATGAAGCCTTGATCGTAATGGTAGTGGGATGTCACGCCGCATCAATATAGAGGCAAAGAAATGCCATTTATTCCAGGCGGCACGTATGCGTGCTCGAACGGCAGCTTCAGCTCTTCCAGTACAATCCAGAACATCCCCTAGATATTGAAACGATGTGACTTTCTCTACCTTAATGGCTTCAAAAACAGTACTATTTCGAATTTGTTGTTGTGGATTGATGCAAGCAGGACAAAAATAAATTGGACACTTTAGATATAGTACCAATTATTTTTGAACAACGTTTGTGACACCACTGGTTACACTGCTGACACTTGATTGAATAGTTACCTACACCAGCTTTACAAACTGAACAGGGCCATCGTCCAGTAGCTGTGGATTGGATGGTTTCACCATTGTTCATTGCTTTGGTTCTGCTGATGTTGACTTTGAATCCATGATCGGCGAGTCTGGTGTTCCAATCTTCAAACATCTGTGCTGCATTCTGCTCAGACGTGACTGTTAAAACGATATCATCAGCATATATTAGATGCCAAATGTCACCAGTGCGTATCGTTTTTGTGATTTCTTCCATCACAGTTATAAATAGAAGTGGACTAAGAGTCGAGCCTTGGTGAACTCCAACGCCGATGTCAAATGCATCTGTGTTTCCAACCGTTGTGCTGACAAGAGTTTTAGTATTCGTATACATTTCCATCACAAGTCAAACAAGATATTCTGGAATGAGTTGCCGACGTAGACTCCACCTGATTGCTTCACGGAGAAACTTATTTTTCGAATTCATGCTGCAAATAAGGCCATATTTTTCGAATTCATGCTGCAAATAAGGTCATATTTCGATTCCGAATGAATCATCATCAGTGCTCCTTGCTGTATATATAGGGAAATATTGACTTTGTCAAGATGTCAAGACTTTGTCAACTTTGACGTCAAAGTTCATCTCGACAAAGACATACGAAAAAAGACATAGTTGGTGCATCATGTATTAAAAACGACAAAAATGGTTCTTGAACAAGATGAAATCAAGCTAGAGTGGAGAGAATACTTCAACGGTCTGTTTTATGAAACAAATTTCAGCAATGTCAACTTTGACGCTCCACCCATCGAAGGTCCGATTCCAGACATCAATGTAGAGGAGCTTACAGAAACTTTGACCGCTAGGAAGGATGGAAAGGCAGCAGGGCCCTCTGGACTCACAAATGACAATATCAAAGCATCTGGTACTGCAGGTATCCAAACGTTACTACAACTTTGCCGTGAAGTGTGGAGAAATTGCTCAATGCCGACTAAATGGAACTATAGCATGACACTTCCGCTATACAAAGGCAAAGGTGATCCATTGAACTGTTCATCATATCGGGGTTTACGTCTGTTAGATCACTCCCTGAAAATTGTCGAGAAAATCATTGAGAAAAGATTAACGTCGTGCATCATGATCGGAAATTATCAATTTGGTTTCCTAGCGGGGAAATCAACAATTGATGCAATTCACATCCTTCGGCAACAGCAAGAGAAGTACCTCGCAAAGCATCAACAACTATCACACATTTTTGTAGACCTTGAAAAAGCATTTGATCGAGTTCTCCGTGAAACAATCAGGCGGAGTCCACGTCGACAACTCATTCCAAAATATCTTGTTCGACTTGTGATGGAAATGTATACGAATACTAAGACTCTCATCAGCATTTGACATCTGCGTTGGAGTTGGGCTTCATTCTCAATCTACTGTTATTTATAACTGTGATGGAAGAAATCACAAAACCGATACGCACTGGTGACATTTGGAATCTAATATATGCTGATGATATCATTTTAACAGCCACGTCTGATCAGAATGCAGCACAGATGTTTGAAGATTGGGACACCAGACTCGCCGATCTGGATTCAAAGTTAACATCAGCAAAACCAAAGCAATGAACACTGGTGAACCCATCCAAGTGTCAGCAGTGTAATCAGTGGTGTCACAAACGTTGTTCAAAAATATTTGGTACTTTATCTAAAGTGTCCAATTTTGTTTGTCCTGCTTACGTCAATACACAACAACAAATTCGAAATTGCAATGTTTTTGAAGCCATTAAGGTAGAGAAAGTCACATCGTTTCAATATCTAGGGGATGTTCTGGATTTTACTGAAACAGCTGAAGCTGCCGTTCAAGCACGCATACGTGCAGCCTGAAATAAATGGCATTTCCTTGCCTCTATATTGATGCGGCATGACATTCCACTACCACTACGATCAAGACTTTATAAATCTGTGATACGTCCGGTCTTGTTTTATAGTGCAGAAACATGGCCAATGACAACCAAACTGGAAGAAGAACTTCAACGAACCGACATGAAAATGCTCCGATGGATGCACCGATGGATGCAACGAATTAGTCTGAAGGACCACATCAAATCTACCGAAATCCTGCGTTGTGCTGGTTTAGATGATATAAAGGACGAAGAATGCCGGCAACACCGTCTGCGGTGGTTTGGTCATGTCAAACGAAGTGGAAACAGTGCCATAACTTCTCTTGCAGATGTGGAAGTACCTGGCACACGTCCCAAAGGCCGTCCAAAGAAGTCCTGGTCGCAAACAATCGAGCAAGACATGAAAGCTCTAAATTTAAATGAAATGGATGCAACTGATCGTTTAATTGGCACAAAAAATTGATGGCAAAGAAAACAACGTCCTACCTCGGGGAACTGGGTCTCTGGACGCTAAACGAAGATTGAAACAGGGTTAGGCCATTTAAGCCAAAAGTGCATTCTCACATTTTCAAAGATTCCTAGCATTACAATAAAAGCCCTTAAAAGAGGACATCAGTGGGGAATGATCATACTGCTCACTTCTCTGTCTCTTCCTGAAGACTCAATATTAACCTTCAATTATAAAATTCAAATAACAGGTTTACATTTTTATTTATCTACATTAAGGTTATCTGTTTCAAATTACAAATAGTTTTAAATATCTCATTTCAATTCAATGGATTCAGAAAATTTAAACATTTCTTTATTGCCCTCACGAATTGAATAATATGTTAGTTTCCAGGCACATCCTAATGCCACCTTGTAGATATGATTTCTTGGCTGAGTGCCTCTTCTTTCTCTTCATTTTGGTATCCGTTGCCGTTTGTTTTTTTCGCGAACGTTCAAAATTTGTGCATTTCCGCATTATAATTTTTCTACAATCTTTTTAATGCTATTTTTATTATCCAATCTTTGTACAACTAAATTTTTTTATTACTTGCCATGCCATTATCGATGATGAACGAGTTTTTAACGACGAAATTAATGTGATCACGATAAATGAAACGTAAAGGAACTTTTTAAAAAGCGAACTAAAGGTTAATAAAGTTTTGTTTGCACATTTTTGTAAAATTTTAAAATAATATTTGGTTATAACATGTCAGCTCTTAAAGACTATAAGTCATTTTGTACCGAAAAGCATGTCCGCATGTCGTTACTTCAAAAAGTCCGCTCTTTAAGTGTAATTTAACATACAAAACGGTTCCGTGCCGAGCAACACTGTCCATTACTCTCAACTGTCTGCTTTTTAGAATCTCACTCTTGAAGACTCTTAAATATTATTATTATTGTCAACATTCATATAGCACCAATTATAATTCAGAACTAACGCTCATTGATAAAAATCATTAGGTTACTGCCACTGCAAAAAATATCAAACATATATGTCTTAAACTTTTTTTTAAATTCAGCAAGCGTAGTTGCAATTTATCAAGTCATTCATCTAAAATTCCATAAAGGAGACTATTACAACAGATGTAATCACCAACAGAATTAAACCATTTTGTCGAGACTTTTTTAATATGACGTAA